AAACACAAAGTCATGGGCTGAGGTTAATGGCAGAGGAAACAGGTCCTGTTTTATTTTCTGGGGAGGATGTCTATGGCGTGAAAGATGAAATTTGGTGCCTGAGAAGAGTCGGGAAAAGGGCTGAGTGGCTCCGTCTGCCCGAGAAAGAAGAGGTCTTGTTCTCTTACCTCTCATTTACTCTTTAAGTACTAAACACCCCTCCCCCTTCACACTTTTAGCTAAGTAGCGTAGCTGCAAAAATGTCTTTACTGTATTTTGAGTTGTAAAAAGTTGCAGATATGATCCTAATCACTGGGTCTGTGTGCAGGCGTTTAGTACACCCTATTCAGTTTTCAAGTCTGTCATTTTTTTAGCATAACACACCCTGCAGGAGAACAGCCCCTTGTGGAGTGGTCGGGGGTCGTAAGGTGGTATTTGAACATCATAATTTCTGTATTGGTGAAGATAAAAATAATTCTTAAATATTCAAATTTCTTTACAATGGATTCATACTCCATAGCCTCAGTGTTGCATTGCTTCAGTATTTCATGACAGTGGGACTTGTCAAAAATGTTTGCAGTTGAAATCCTTCTTCTAGGGACAACCTTTCTGTTAAAATGTAAATAATCTGTTGCTTTAATACTAAAAAAAAACAAACAAAAAAATATGCCGCTACTCCACATTCTTGACAGGAGTAGTAACTAGAGTAGTATTTAAGCCTGTGGACTCAGTCCAGAGGGTCATGACTTCACATGCCAGGTGGTACACTGCTGCTGTATCCTTAAACAAGGTAATTATGTCAGACTGCTCTTGTAAATCCTCTGCTGTGTAAAAGTGTTTCTTGGTCATCATTGTAAATACTAACGTGTTGATCTATTTTTTTTTTATTTGGTAAAATAAATTAAAAAACATGGATACAAAAACACAGCAACATACAGAGTGGGATTCCACCTTTTACATTTTCTAGCACTTGTGAAGTTTCCATTCATCCATTTCCTAACCTGTTTATCCAATACAGGGTCGTGGGAGAGCAGGAGCCTATCCTGGCAAAGCAGCAGGTGCAAGTTGGGGCACACCCCAGACAGGATGCCAGTCCACCACAGGGCGCACAGACACATCCACTCACACATTAGCTGGCTTTCTCAGAAGCCAATTAACCTACCTTTATGACTTTGGACCGTGGGAGGAAACTGGAGCACCTGGTGAAAACCCGTGCATATATGGAGAAACATACAATCTCTATTTAGATAGCGCCCCAGGAGTCTAATCCAGGCCTCCCAAGCATCAGGGCAGTAATTCTACCCCCTTGTGCCACAATGCCAACTCACTTGTGAATTTTAAAATACAGAATTACTTATTTTTACTCTTTTGAATGTGCAGTATAATTCAAGTAATCTATGGTGGTCAAGAGAATTAATCTTTTCCTAACTATGCAATCATGTCCTCTATATTTATTGCACTCAGGTCCGATTTGGCAAAATCTGTGGGTTCTGAGTGACAACTATTTTTGTTTGTTTAGCAGCTGAAGCTCCCAGATGCCTTTTCCATTAAAAAGAAAAAATGCCACAGAGGCTGGATGTTGTGCTGTGCCTGCGGAATATTTCTAGCTGTGTATGAGCAGATTTTTTACTAGCTTTCAGAAACATTGAGTGGTCTAAAATAAATAATTCTAATTCTTTGTCACAGGAGCAAAAGCTTTAAAATTGATAGCATGGCATAGCATGAAGTCATTTACTGGTTCAAGTGGTACAGTAACTGCAAAATATTGTTTTACATTTCGCCTAATTCTAAACCTTGGCATGTTTATTAACAGTGTGCTGCCACACTGTGTCTTTAAGATTGACAGGTGTGCTGTGATCCATATCCAGAGCTGAACTTCAAGTTGTGTTGACAGTATACAGGTTATTGTCAGTAGAAACTTCGGCTGCAGTTATTTAGCATACACTGTTAAGAGTTTCAGTGCTAAACATGAGAGTTAATTATCATATGGTAAAACCAGTAGTAATGTTTGCAGTAATGTTTTAAGACTGAGGTTTTATTATCAAAAGCAAGTTTTATGCTATCTAGTTCTATCTAGTTTTATGCTTTCGAGAGACTAGTTTAAACTTATTGCATATTGAGTATCAATCCTTAACCTTTCATTAATCCAACTCGTTTTGGTAGAATCCTGGAGCTACATTTTCTTTAAGGTTTGGAAGCATAAGAACTTTAAGAAAGTGTCTTTCTTCAGCCAGATCTCTAATGTCGTACATCTATATACAGTATTGCAGGGCTAAGATTTCTTTATCTTAATTTGACATATGGTGAGACGGGGTCAGTATTGTAAGAAATAGCATTTAATAAAAAATAATAAAATCCTTTGAGCTCCAGTAAATTCAGATTACATATAGAGTATATTAACGATTTCATATTAAAAGCGAGTCTGGATTTCATTACAATTAAATAAATCTTTGCACTCTGGATGTCGTGTACTGTAAATGCTATTAACCTTAACCTTAGATATAACGAAAATAAGTACAGTATGAAGAGTCTTGGCATTGGTTAGAAGCTCACAGTGCTGCAGCTGTTCCCTGCCAGGATGAGGGGAAGTTGACTTACAGTTTAGAAATCTGGTTGAGAAGGCGGGTGTCAGTTCTATCTCTTATCAGTCTTCCAAGAGGGACATACAGAAAGCTGTTTCTGTACCAAATCACAGGTTGGGAAAAAAAACACTTGCTGTCTGCCTGACAGCATGCGTCTCTGGGGATAGGTTAACCTCCTGTGGCTTTTTGGAGACGTGTAGTCAAGAATTCTTGAAGGGCTACCCCTCCCTTTATGTAAGCTTTGCCAAAGTACTCATGCCATTTTTTCACAGGTTTAAGGAGTGCCAGGATGTGGTTAGATTCTAGAAACACGTTTATTGGTTTGTTCCTTTTTTCTAATTAACTATTTTCTTTGTCCTCACCTACTACTAGCTAAATAAATTGAGATTATACAGTTTGGCCTTCTCAAAGGTCCTCCCTAATTCAGTAACGAGGTAGTATCTCACAAGTCCTCCTGATCTGCTGTGAAGTGAGGCTGTCGCTCATTAACCAGGTGGGTGCTGCACATCATTGGTGGTTGAAGGTGGTCTCCTCCTGTATGTCAAATGCTTTGACGACATTCGCAAAGGAAAGTGCTATACTAATGGCAGGGTGTAATATAACTATTACTCACACTGATTAGAATTTTTTTTCTAATGTGGGTAAAAGATGTTGACACTGTGTTGGGAGCGACTGCATTCCTTTCCCTGGTGTGACTAGAACCTGAGCTCTCTTGACCTGATTTACGTGGAGATCTACTGTATATTGCTCAATTCTGTGGTGCCAGGAAAAGGTTGATTGGAGGCGTACTTTAAATGCTTACTTTACTTTATGCTGCTTTAAAATTATTGCACAGGGTTTTGTTGTATCGTTTAGTTCTCGTGTTATTTGGAAAATTTTTGTCACAAAAAAGTTTGAAGGACAGTGGTGGGACTGTAAATTAAGGCATGATCAGTAGGAAAAATTCCTGAGATTAAAGAATGTGTAACAGGATAAAGAATCTAGCCCTGGACCCTTATTGTTATCAGGTGCTTTTAAAGGGGAACTGCAAAATTTGTTTTATATTTTGGGATTAGAATTTGCATTGAAATGGCATTTAAAAACCACAATTAAAGTAAAATGTACACAGTAATGTGTAAAACTTCCATTTTCCATCACAAAATAGGGTACACTTACAGATATGTAGAGCGCTATGTTCTGTGATTTAGAACGAGGCAAGTAAGTGAGGTGAAGTGGCCCTATTACATCTCAAACAAGCAGGCTTGTGAAGAGATCTCTTTTGATCCAGTAGAAATATTGTTCTAATCTTCGAGGCCATACAGCTTACTTGTTAACTGTGCATGCAGATCACATTGGAACATTTCTGTGGTGAAATGTATTGCAGCAGCAGACCTGTACTCGTATTCGCTTGTCCATTGCATTACCTTAGTCGATGCGGAGACTAGTGTGCTGGAAGAGCTGCTTCACTTCGAAATTTGTGGGAACTCTTGCCCTCACCCGTGGTGAGACCAGAGGTTTTTGACAACTTGGTGACTATCAAGTACTTTTACAAAGTTCATGATTTTGTGCTTAATTTGGAATTTGTAAAATTTTGCGATTTCATCAATAAATTAATTTTGTTACAGAGTTTAAATAACTGGTCTGAGAAATGGGGACTGCAGTTCTCCTTTAACATATTTAGACTTGCACGACTTATTGTAATAGCAGACTTTTTTGTGCCTTCACTTTCAAATTAGTCATGCTCTTTAAAGCCTAATTCCCCGTACCCATGTGTAAGCTGTTTTGAGTTTGGAACAGACAGCCAAACCATCCATCCATTATCTGAAAGATGCTTGTTCCTGTAAAAGTGACGGTAACCTGAAGCTTATCCTGGAAATCATGCTTGCAAGGCGACTATACCCTGGAAGGAATGGCAGTCTGTCAGTGACAAGCCATGTGATATAAAAATATTACATTTTGATTAATGAGGTTTGTGCAGCACTTTGACTTAAATAAATTTTAATCATATTGCATTTCAAATCTTTTATCCGGAAAGCCCTAAATTCAGAGCTGATACTAGTTTGGGCCCATGATTTCCACTGAGACACACTCGATATTAGTTCCTGTTACTGTAAACGACACAGTTTTTGACATTTTAATGGTGAATACAAAGTCTACACTGTTTTTAGAAGCCGTTGACTTTGACTCTGGGCAGGGAAAGTCTGGCACTGTGGTAGTTTGTTAACATTGCATTTCCAAGACTATGACTATCGGTACACAGTTAAATTTCCACTGCTGTCAGATCAGCACTTTGAACTAATTCTAAAAATAAGTAAATATGGTTCTCAGAGAAATATAAATATCCAGATATTTTTAGACATTTTAAAGAGATCTGGGAATATTGTCAATGTCTCTACTGCCTTTTTATCCGGGCAAAATTGCAGATCCAGATGCTTAGTGCATTGCCTTTTTTCTTTGCAGATTTGTGTCAATATTTTCCGTACTCTTCCTCCAAGTGAAAACCCAGACTTCGATCCAGAAGAAGATGAGCCTACCCTTGAAGCCTCATGGCCCCATATACAGGTGGGGTTGTTTTTTTTTCTTTTTATTTGTTATGCTCTGCTGTTGTAGTCTTAAGATGAGTTCCATAACTTTTACAAAACCACAATAGCAGTGCTATTAGTTAGGTGTGGGAGATTTAATAGAATTTTCTTAGATCTAGTAAGCCAAATTGGCTGGAAGTAACAGACTTTATAACACCACTATGAGAAATATAAATCTACACTTTACAACTGAATAAATGTTTATAAAATTATATTACAATAAAGTATTAAGTGTTTTTAACTCTGAACCAGCACATCATATAGTATCTCTTATTGAAAGTGTCATGATATAGTGATAGGTCTTTAATAAGTTAAATCAAAGAAGGTATTTGGTATTGGTATGAATATTGTAAACAGAAAATATGAAAAAACATTTTCATACATTTAAACTGCACTTCCCATGACTATCTTATCAATCTTGAAGATTTTGGATTAATTCTAACAACTGGAATTCAAATCTTATCAGTTTTTCATGAAAATGTCAAGCAACAATGGCTGACAAAGGAGTGTTTTCAGGGCACACACACTCACATCAGGGCCAAGTGTCCCAAAAGCCAATTAAACTGCCAGTATGTCTTTGGACTGGGAGGAAACCGGAGCAAACAGGGAATTTGTTGGGAAACTAAAAGCATGCAAATGCCACACAGATAGCACTTCAGTTCCAGGATTGAATCCACTGTGCCACCATGCCACCCAAAAAAACTATTGTGCTTATCATTCATTTTAATCTCATGATTACAAAATAAAATGCTTGACTCCACAGCACAAATATGTATTTTTAGTTGGTTTTCTCTGTGAACAATTCACATTGTGCAGTTGTCTACATGTAAGTCATTGGTCAGGTATTTCTCCAGCCCTCTGTCTTTTTTAGTTTCATTTGCTGCTTCTACATAGCCAGTGGTTACAATACAGATCCCTGTGGCACTCCTCTTATTGTATCACTGATATAATTGTATAATCTTCTAGCTTCTCATTGCAAGAAAGCTCTGCATTGTGTTCACAGTATTTGTATCATCTTCATCTAGTGATCACAGTGCCACTCACCTCTCACTTTATTTTCTGCCTTAAAAGCTTAATTTAAGAATTTGTGTTTCTAGTCCCTTTGAGATTCCTAATTTGTTCTTATGTCAACATCATACAAAGCTTACAGTATAAAGTTTTATAATATAAGACTTTTCTATTCTTATATACAGTACCACACAGTAAGTGATATTACTTTGATATGAAGCATTATTGTATACTAATCTGAAGTTTGTTCTCTCTGTATAAGTTTTTGGTTATGAACTTGTTTTTCACATTGAATTGAGCTTGTATAGGGAAAGCTGGAATGTACTGTTTCCTGTCCATTACCCAGATCTTAGACTTAAGTATTTCCTATTGTTTGTCCTTTTAGAGTGAATCATTTATGACAAACTCTATCACAAGTGTTCTTGAAGTCTACTATATCATATACTATTACTTCTGTCCCTGTTCACGTCTATCATTTCTAAATATGTGATAACAATCCTCTAGAATCCTGTTGCCAAACGATGATCTTCTAGTAAAATTCTAGTTCTTATGTGCTTTATGTATTAACCAATAGAAATAAGACTTATTGATCTATAATTATTTGGTATCAGTCTGGATTAGTACAGTATTAGGAATTTTCAGTGCATATAGCACTCATTGGAGGAGGTATGCTAACAACAAGTGCGGGAGTAATATCTGTTTGTGAACTACAAATACTAGCTTACTATCGGGACATGGAGATTTGTTTATTTTCAGTGCTCCTACTAACTGTAGAATTTCAGCCAATGCTAATGCTATTTTAATGCTTTGTCTTTCCAACTGAGGCCAGTTGTGAATTTCGTTCTTGGTAAATGTCCAAGTGATGTATTAAATGAATACATCAGTCATTTCCCTTTCATTGTCTAAAGGCTTCCTGTTATTATCTCTGAGATGTTTTATTCATCATTTAATGTCATCTTGCTATTGTAATACTCAAAAATACTCTTTTTATTTTAGACTACATTACAGTATTCTTTTCAGTCTCTTTTGGCTTTTCTAATCTAACTTTTTCTTGTTCTTTGAACTCCTTTTATCAACTTTTTATAATGGGCTTTGTTCCTCCTTAAAGTGGATTATTGGAGTATTTAAGCTACTGATTTCTAGTCTTTGATTTATTTACTCTTAGGATAAATTTCCTCTGTGCTTCAAGAGGAATATCTTTAATTGTCATCCATTCTCTTCTGATTGCATTTATATTCTCTCTTTATATAATATTTTATCCTGTATTGCTTTTTTCAACTCTGTCATTTCGTTCATAGTCTGATATCCTGAAATCAGAAACCTTTGTTGTGGACTCTACCTGCCAAATTTTAATTAATAATAATAGGTGCCATATAATGATCATGGTTCCCTATCGATTCTTTGATCTCTTTACTATTTCTTTACTCTTTTGCTTGAGAAGATTAGCCATTCCCTCTAGCAGATGCTCTGCTAAACTGGGTAAGAAGGCAGTTGTTTGCTTTTTATATAATTTCAGTTTCATCTGCTGTTTGTCCTAATGGGTGTTTTCATGTTGGATAAAAGTAAAATGAGACTTAGTTGATTTTACACATATTCCTCGTTTTATTAGATAACGTTTGTATTATAAATGTAATCTGCAAGGGATGGTCTACAGCATGCTCCAAATGCTATGCCTTTATTCTGATGATGTCTCTGGTGATGATGAGATTTTTTAAATCCACATGATTGTACTGTCTCTTCGAATATATAAATTAAAAAGCCATTGAGTTTTTTTTAAAACTTCACATTAGTGTTATACTGTTTGATAAACCCTTGCAGTGTCATGTAATATAATCATTGTGAATGGACAGTTGGGAGCCAATTTTTTTACAGACATTTTTAAATAGCATTTTTCAACCATGAGACTACATCACATGTCATTTCCAACCTTAGACCTGTGAAATCAGCAAGACACAGTCTTGGTACAGCTCTGAGGGGCCATTAGTTATGCTGGGTCAGTGCAAGCTGTCTGCATTAATGCTGGAACTAAAAAGTATGAAAGAGTAATAAGATGAAATTGTACAGGATTGTAATGGATTTGCTTTTAGGACAACCAGCTTTGTTATTTTCCTCAACTTGCTATTGTAGCTTAAACGAGACTCTTGAAATACACAATTGCTTTGAGTTTTTCATTCACAATTTTATTTTGCTTTGTTTTTGCAACAAGCTGGTGAACAAATGTACATTTTCACACATTTTCCTTCATTTCTACACAACATTGTTGCCCTTTGTGCAGGTTTGAAGTCCAAATAAACTGTACTCCTTTATATAACACACAACCAATGTGCTGTGAATATTTTGTTGGCAGACCATTTGCACAGAGCAAATTTAAGCATATTGACTGAGCCTTCATCTTTGTCTTATTGTAATGCTGATGAGATGTAAAAGGATAGCCAAAGGCTTTTAAATTGCAGGCAGAGGGTGGCTGGCAAAAAAAACTATGCCTACTTTTCAAATTTGAAATGTTCACTGATACTGCTTATTTATATACTGTACTTCTGTATGTACCTTGACAGTAAAACAGAAATGGACAGGCAGTTGAAAGATATACGATTTAAGAATTTGAACTAAGATTGTGTAAAATTAATACATAATACAGTAGAGGTTTGGGAGGTCACAATATTTATAGAATATTAATGGTAGTTTCAAGATAAATTGCCAGTTTGCACAGAGTGTGCAAGGAAATGTGCATTTAGAATATACAGTTTATTACACAAGTACTCTGACCTTCATAGTTTGTTCATAGTGCTTTATATGCCTCTTGTAATTTCTTTTGTACTAGCTTTAACACACACTGCATTGCTACAACCCATCTCAGCAATTTCAAAGATGGCAACTTTTAATGACAGAAAATTGGCGAGTAGAATCACTCTGAACCATTTATATGCAGTATGTTTTTGACAAAGTCAGGACTTCCGGGAGACTTTTGTACCACTAATATGATCCCCTGTAAGAGTCTTTCTTAGTCAGGAAATGCAAACATATCTGAGCAGCGTCAATACATTTGTCTTTATTCATTGACAGGTTGGAATCTGCATATAAAATTGTAGTTCATAATGTATGTAACAAAATACAAGGAGGAGATGCACATTTCTTACTTGCATCTGTCTTAACAAAAAGTGCGAAAACACGTTGTTCAAGAGAAAAATGTTTAGCGAGTACCATTCTTTGTGCAACAAGTAGGAAATGCCTACACATGTATAAATATGACTGCTTGTGTGATTGACATTTAAACTAATATAATTAGTAAATAATCAGGCTAGGTAAGCTGTGCACCATTGGTGTAGTGTTTCAGATTTTCAGTTTGCTTAGTTTGTATTTATACGTAAATACTTAGTATCAGATAGGTAGGATTTGCATTTTGTAAACATCTTTATAACAGAACCAAGAATAAATATATGAAATTGTATTTTAATTCATACATATGAATAATAGTTAGGAATGCTGTAAAATGTAATGTTATTATCAGTTCTACTGGTATATTGACACAGATGAAAAGCATCTCCAGTTAGATGTCTTGACGTAAAATATTGATAGATCATATACTAGAGATACCTGGAGATTTAGGCAATGTTTTTCACATTATTGCCTCCAATTATGAAGTTTTGTTTTGATGAATAACTTGGTTTAGATTGTTTGCAATGTATCTGATTCGTTCTTTCTTTACAGCTGGTGTATGAGTTTTTCCTGAGATTCCTGGAGAACCCAGACTTTCAGCCAAGCATTGCAAAGCGATACATTGATCAGAAGTTTGTGCTTCAGGTGAGTGCTTTGTCTCTTATATCTTGTTGTTGTTGATGAAGAAACATGGTTCTTGTGCTGGTGTTGAGAGTCAGCATTTAATTAATATTAAACCTAAGGTGGATTTTATCAGGTCATTCTTACTCAAGGCCAGGAGTGTTCCTTTAAGGTAATTTTAGCAGATTTAATAACTGTTCATTAAATAAAAATGTTTGTATTAAAATGTGCTATGGTCATTATGTTCATGTGTGGACAATAATTTGGCAATTTGGTCTAGTGATTTTGTTTTACGTTTGTGGTTTTTCAGTACAGTCCTTGAAACAGACACAATAGCAAGTCCTTTACGAATCCCTTTCATCTAGCTATTGACAAGAACATTGTTTGTACCTTTGTACCTTATGTGTTACCTTGTTCCTTAGTGTGTGGGAGAGGTTGTCTTGGAGGTCAGGAAATACAAGATCATAAAATGTTCCTTGTGCAAGGACTTGTTATATGATACATAGATTGAATAGTTTATTTTGCTGTAATATTCACAGTTATGGTTGTGTCCAAACTGTTAGAAATATGTATCTGACTTGTCAAAGAAATCACATCTTTTCTTCAGCAAGAAGAAGCAGAATTGGCAAGTTAGGTATTAATGGACTAATTATCCTACTGGAAATTAGTTGCCTGTCATGGTTTTGAATCAATAGAATCAAATATGAGTGATAGCTGTGGAAATGCCATTAGCAATAAGGGTTACAGATATAAAGACAAAGTGGACTCAGCATGCAATCTGAAATCATTTTCAGCTCTGTGTATAAACCAAGCACAGTTCCTGCTGGCATATGACATTTTGTCCCTTTTTAGAATCTCATGCCCCAGAGAATATTGGCAAATCTGTGAATTCCAATGTTACATTGGCATGAAATTGAAAATATAATATGAACAAAACATTTATGCATACAGAGAGCTTTCCAGTTTCAAAGTAGAAGTATTGGTATCGGCAGTATAGTGGTAAGTTTTAGCCACAATAGTATTGTGGTGTCTACTCTCGTTGGGTTTCAGTCAGACTTTGGAACAAATAAGAGAACGCATTTCATTCTAAATTTATAAGGGCATCTTCAGTGCCTATTGAATAAACTACAGCTCTGTTCAAGCTTGTAAATGTACTGCGGACTTCTTACAATGTCAGGGTTAATTTTGAAGTGATACAGGGTAATTAATTTCATAACCAACGAAACTGAATCATTGGTTTTTCATGCTGATCTAATTTGAATCTTTAGCAACCATAATTTTGTTAATATGTGGTTACAGGAAAAGAGAAACATACTGTAGATCTCAATGTCGGTTAATGAGAAGAAATAACATTCTGTAACATGGAGGTGTCTCCTGTACTTTGGTGTAGCTGGCTGATCGTGGTAAACAAAATGGACCAAGGGATGAAACAGCTCTCATTTATTCTGAAGCTGCTTATTTCTAAACAGAGGAAGTGAATCCACAACCGTTCTGGCAGAGCTTTGTGGGTTAAATTCGCCAAGGCCACACGTCTTTGCTTCAGGGCTCACTTCGGTTCTTATTTCAAACTAATAGTCGCAGCAGTAATAATCAGCTTTTTAACAAATCCCCAAAAAATCACAGAAAGCCCTTTCTCGAAGAGCGTCTCATTGTGGCTTTCCCTTCAGTTCCGCTTTCTCTTTTGATCACTTTTACAGATGTGAGGCCTTGTCGGTGTGGTTTGGTATGTTCTCCTTGGTCTGTCATTTTTCTCCTGCTTCTCATGGCATCTCCCTTCGACTCCCTCCAGCCCTCTTGTATCCTCTTTTCTGGCAGAAACATAGGTTAGAAAAAGGAGATCATAGCCGCTCCTCCTCAAGTCCTCTTTGCCAGCAGCTGCGATTGTGTCAGTAGGGGGTTCACCCACATCCTGTTGCAGTAGTGAAATTCAATTTTGTGTTAGATTCTTGGAAGCATGCTTTTCAGGTATTTGTTAGTTTCAGGACAGTATGCGACACTTTGGGCTTTTCATCTTTTTTTATGCCAAGCTTCGCATTAAATCAAAAGATTGGCTGATGCCATCTTTTACTGGTTGGGACACAAGTTTCAGTTCAAGTCACCATCCCAAGCCTTGAACTTGGGCTCTTGTCACACACAACCGGTGATTCGGTTGTTACATGAGTTGGGGGGAGTGTGTCTGCCCATCCTCAGTCTCCTCTTCCATAGGTGGGCAGGAGGAAATGGGAGGAAATGAAACATACTAACAAAATGTTGGGAGATGTTCGGACCTGGCTGTCTGTGAGACATGGGGGGTGGGTTTGAGATTGCACTGAGCCAAGTTAATCTACCAATTTTTGTCACTCTGCTTTTTGGGTATTGTTTCAGATATTATTTATCCCAGAAACATTTGTGAGACTTATGTTTCTAGGCAGAAACTACTGCAAGGGCTATAACAAAAATTCACATAACAGGGAATCAGCCATTAAAAAAATGCAAAGTAGAAGGTGATGATATGGTGTCCTGAATTAGACTGATTAAGTACAAGTCATTATTACTTTCTTTAAAAGAGATTTAAAATTTAAATTTAAAGAGAAAAAAAAATCTATTTAGAGAGAAATTGTATTTAAATTTTAAGTAGCATTTAAGTCTTAAAGAGAAAGGTATTAAAAAAGCTAGAACAGTTTGGAACAGTTTGCCATGGGTTGTCACAGCCCTTCCACAAGATTTTTGTGATAAAAAGTAATCTGTCATTGATGTTGTTCTGTTTTAAGGTGTGTATTTTCTTGTCTGGTTATGTCCTGCCAGTGAGATGTTTCAAGTTACTGCTGGGTGTTTATCAAGTTGGACAACCAGTAATCTAAAGAGAACACTCCATAATAGAAAGCCAAACAGTGTAGTGATAATTAAGAAAGTACAGTATGCTTATTGTAAGCAATATAAATAGCCAGGCTTTGTCTGTTAATGCTTTCATGTTAGTTGTTGTACCAATATTTGTAGCAGGAAAATATAGTGTAATTGAATTAATTATTTAAGTAAGGCAAGGTAAACGTATGGAGAAGCAGAAAAAAGCCTCTTTGTCACAGGATGTTCTAGATATTCACCATGCCCAGCTTCTCACATAAATACTTTCCCTTGCAGGACTTTAGGGAGAATTATCGTCCTGATAAATGACATTCCAGTTTAGATTAATTGCTTTGCCTTCTATGGTTAAAGATATATCCTATAAAAACATACTTATGTATAATTTTCAGGTGAATTCTGTGTATATTCATTAATCATTCTGGGATGTTACCAACAGCAGAATATAGATAGATGGCCATTCTCCATTAAGTTCTATATTTATACTGTACATACAGTATGTTTTATATAATGCTAAACAAAGGGTAAATACGCCTTTGGCAGAAATGTGTTTGACATTTTTTTCCTGTCTGTGTTTCAGCAGAGAGAGCATGTTTATTGAACAGTGGTCTGACACAAAGAGAACAGTCTGGAATGTTGGCAGGGTTACATCCGAGGTGCAATAACTATTTTTCACCGTGTTCTCATTTACCATGAGCTTTAAATAGTGCTACCTAGTTTGCTCCGGGTTAAAAAGACAAAGAGGTTACAAACTTACTGTTTGTATTTCATTTAGGTTTTTAATCTGGTGTTTTCTATTGGGGTCTAATTCTACCAGAAGGCATGACTATAACTTACAAAAATACATAATTAAGACTTGTAGGTGCTTTTCTGTACATGAGGAAGTATGGCATATTTGTTTAATATAGATTTCTGTCTTTTGATGACTGAATTCACTTCAGTTGAAGTCTACTGTAAATCATAACATTGACCTTACGCAGTTCCTTAGTAATCATATGTTTCTATGTTCCTTAGTAATCATACTGTATGTTTTAAAGCTGCTTATTATGACATAAAAAATAGAATATCCCATTTTACAGAAAATCATGGATCACTTATTTGAGATTATGCTCTTTGCTTCACTTCAAATGTCTTGTTTTTTGGTAAGGGATGTGTGTGATAATTGAAAAAGCCTTCATCTAACTTAGACACTCATGGACAATGAAAAGCTTCTCAATGTAGGTAGAGTAACATTTTCTGTATCCAAAGATGCTGGATAGCAGCTGGGACCACACATGACTTGTCATCATGATCACAGTTAAGAATTTGTGGAAGTAGGCCTTGAAACTGTGACTTTTTCATGTGATCTCTTGTTGTAAAAAGCTGCTCGGACTTGCATAATATTTAGTGGGTTTAAGGGTAACAAAATGTGAAGGAAATAGCTTGTACATACATTGTCAAAGTCAAACTGCAGTACATTATTGTGGACTACTACTGTACAATAAATAAAACACCACAATGCATTTACCATTTATATGGTATCTGTGGCTGGATAGTTTATACAGGATATACACAGTGCCTTATTCAGACCCTTGCTATGGTGACTCAAGCTGAAGTCTTCTAAGGATAAGAATAAGTTACAGTAAGAGTCAGAAACTAAAAAGAAAAACATGTTACTCACCCATTCTCCTTGGCAGGTTTGCTTAAGTTGTTTGGGGGCTTGTTTGAAGCAGATTTTCCTCTTAAGATTTACTAGATAGTAACATGGTACTGTCTATGTTCCCATCATTCTTGACAAGCTTCACAGTCCCTGTTGACGAGATCCAAGATATAACAATAATGCTACCACTACCACGGTTGACCGAAGAGATGTTGTTGACTATCAGAAAGGTCCAAGCTTGTCTCGTCCAGTCAAAAACTCTTTTGCCACATGATTACAGTATCACTTTGGAGTTTTGTTGCAAATCCCATGTGGGATGCAAGACATTTTTTTTCAGTTCCATTCAAGACCTCTTTGTGAAGTCAGTGAGATATCGTTGACTGATGGACATTTTCTCGAATCCCAGCCACCGAACCAGTGTTTGGAACACTTGAACCAGTGTTTGAAATTTACTACCTGCATAAGGGACATTACAAGGAGAGGCCACTCAACTAATTGTGTGGCTTGTTAAGGTAATTTCATGCATTTAATAATAATACACTCCACT